GCTGGCATTTGAATTTCTATTTGTCGTGTTTTGCATTGCCCTTTTTTTTTGTTTTTTGCTTCTTCCCTACTTATTTATTTTCTCCATTGAGGATGTTGAGGACGTAAAGGGCTTGAACTACGACGCGTGGGAGGGGGGAGGGGGGTAAAGTAATGAATAGTGAGGATGTGAGGGAGATATACGCTGGGTCCATTGGCGGGGCGCTTGCCACGGTGGTGGAGTACCCTTTTGACACCATCAAGGTTAGGCTGCAGGATGATCCTCGTCGCTACCGTAGTAGCCTTAGCTGCGTTACACAGATTGCGCGGCACGAGGGACTCATTAATGGTTTTTTTAAGGGTCTTCCTGCCCCCGTCATAGGTGCTGCGGCGGAGAATGCCGCCTTGTTCTCGACCTACCGCGTGACCATTAACGGCATTCAAGACATTTTTTATTCGAAACGGTTTGAACCAGACACAGAGCCGTATCATGTGGTGTTTTACGCGGCGGCTGTCGGTGGTATTGTTGTGTCGACTGTACTGACGCCTGCAGAGCTCATCAAGTGTAAAATGCAGATACAGAACACGCTTCCTGCGAGGAAAAGAGCATTCAAAAATTCGTTGCATTGTGCCATGTCCATCTATAGGAAGTTTGGCGTGCGTGGGCTGTATAAAGGGCACGTTTCTATGCTTTTACGGGAGAGTATTGGCTGTGGACTTTACTTTTTAACCTTTGAGTGGGTAATTCGCAACATGCTACGCGAAGGTCAAAGCTTCACTGAGGCTTCGCCGCTTGTCCACTTTCTCGGAGGCGGGTGCGCTGGCGTCGTTTTTTGGACGTCGATCTACCCGATTGATGCATTGAAGACCAAAATTCAGACCGGCAAGGGCGGGTATGGTGAGCTTTCCTTTGTCAAGGGAATGATGCGGCTGTACAAGCGCGAGGGAGTGCGTGGGTGCATGCGCGGGTACACAGTCACCGCGCTTCGTGCCTTTCCTGGAAATGCCGTTTTAATTGCCGTCTACGAGAAGGTGAACCTGCTCTGGGAAATGTCGCATCGGTCCCGTTGCACTTCTGTTTGCACGGCGACGTGCGTTGGCAGTACATAAAACCCTTCCACCTGTGACACTGGTGGGAGTTTGCTGATTGCTTACTGTGCTAAAAGGAAATACATGCATACATACACATATATATATATATATATATATAGTTATTTATTTATTATACACACACACACACAACAACTATTGTC